TGAACGCAGCACATCTGCGTGTTGTGTTGCAAATGAACGCAACACATCTGCGTGTTGTGTTGCAAATGAACGCAGCACATCTGCGTGTTGTGTTGCAAATGAACGCAGCACATCTGCGTGTTGTGTTGCAAATGAACGCAGCACATCTGCGTGTTGTGTTGCAAATGAACGCAGCACATCTGCGTGTTGTGTTGCAACACCCAACGAAACACATGCCAGTGCCGCCTTGAGCGGATATGGCAGCTGACAAAGTAGTGCTTGCTGCTCAAACTGAATAAAACCGAGAGAAAATATGACCCTGAAGGATATGTGAAAATATGCGAAAATTACCTTTTAGAGACAACACTTCTGAGGAGGCCAGTGTCTTCGATGTTACATATGTACAATGAATTTCTCACTTTATTTTAAAATATAAAAAAATTCAATATGTTTTATTCTTAATAAATTAAATTTTTTTAATTATTGATTTTGTCAATTGATTCAAGCATTGTCTTTGACTTTACGCAAGTGCGCAAATTTTCAGATCGATTGGACAAGTAGAAATGTGTTAAATATCGATTATAAGATTTGTAGCAGACAAACAAACAACAAGAAGTGAAGTTAAAGAGAAGTGATGTGATAAAACCGTCTTTGCATCGGTCAGCTCGCTCAAACAAACTGCTTGAAAGCATTGCGAAGTCCTAATAAAATTTAGGTTGTAGTATACGATGCGTTTCCGTAATTAACAGATATTTACCTCAGTTTTACTACAACGTTCTGAGTTCAAATTATGCATTCAACTTTAAATAAATCATGATTATTTGGGACAACTTTAAATAAATCATTATTATCTAGTTTAAGATGTATTTTGCTAGTGCTTAAATTATTAAAGAGCTTGTCTTACACAGATTTTGCTAGTTGATGTTTAGAATTCTTATAAAAAGCGATCATAATTTTAATGCCAATTCCATCATTTGACCAAAGCTCGAGAGAAAATAGCATATTTTTTATTTGCAAACTTCTTAAATTCACAGCCCTAACATAACAAAATTAAATAGGTTTGAAGGTACTCTAGAAGAAAAATATCACTAGACGGACACCGGGACGAGTAATAAGTCCGAACAAATCTAAGAGGTGGAGTACAGGACGAAACAAAAGCTAAACAATATTCGTTTAAACTATGAAGTTGGCAACTTGAGCCTAAAGTTCTAGGTTTAAATTGGTATCGATGCCCTGCGATAGCGCACTCGTACAGTCGTAGAAGATTTCGAAGCTGCGGAAGCACCACAGGATTTTAGTTTGGGTTCCAGTTATGGGTACATGTTATAGTTATCGTTATTGGTTGTAGTTACAGAGTTACAGTCATTGTTATAGCTTCTAGTCCTAGCTAACATTAAATTTCTACTAATATTAGCTAAAGTTAGTTATCAGTTAGAGTGCGAATAGAGGGTAAAGTCACGATAAATAGGAGAGCAGGACGCAACCTTCTAACACGGACCCAGAACGGGGGCGCGGCCGTGAACACTAAATTTAAGTCTTTAAATAAGCCATGGAGTCAACGCTCAACCTCAGCATGCAATAACTTTACTCGGCCTCAGAGAAAGAAGCCACAGTCTACGACGGAACACCGTAATCCGCACCAGTGATACGCAACTTAAAGATAATAGTGCCGCATGTCTTCAACCAAAATTTCAGCATGCTCGCAGACAAGCAGGCAGTTCTGCATCCGGCCTCACCAACTATGGCCTAACCTCTTCTGACCCAACCTACACACGCTGCACCGACTTTCAACCTACTTGCAGCCAATAACTGGCTCAGCCTTATCACTTGCCCGTCCTCTCTAACGTTCAGCAGCCAATGAGATAAGGTTATGTTCGCTTTGGGTGGAGAAATGTTGCAACGTGTGTAGGTTAGGCCAGAAGAGGTTAGGCAGGAATAGGTTTGGTTAGATGCAGTGCAGTACGACCACGTTTAAGTTGGGAATACTTAAGCGGTGTCTGTGGCTGCTGTATAACTGGACTTCATAGGCTGCTATTCTCTCTAGCGTTCTTACCCACAGAAAGGAATAGGATTAAAGTGTGAAGTTGAGCGAAGCTGGCCTCCTGCATGTGCCTCCCACCCGGAGTGTTTATGGTGCCTCCCACCCCCAAGTTTGATCGCGAACTCATGTGTAATTTAAGAGAGTTCACATGCTATGATGTGGTGGTTGAGACAAGAATAGGAAACAATAAATAATTAGATACACTTTAATCATTATTTTTATTTTAAACGTTGTAAATTGGACACAGTGAAAAAACAATTGAAATTGTGCAAGCTTGTGATTCATTACCCGTAATATATTTTGTAACGTGTACCCTTCTTCTATTAGTATCATTGCTAACGACTTGCATTTGTGATTCTTACCTCTGTGATTTGAACTACGAGGCATGTTTCTTAAGTAAGTACCGTTTTGCGATTTCGCCGCCGCAGCGCTACGGCCGGCGTTCCGCGCGTGCGCGCTGGTTATCTACATCTCTTGTCTACGCACTGACGCCATTACAGTCTGATTCTTCATTGTATGCGTTGTTTACTGAGTGTTTAAGATGCCTCCGACAATCATGAGTCCCGTTGATTGTGAAGTACTGGCTGGTATACGACTTCTTAGTGCTAAAGGCGTAAAACCGATCGATATTCATCGTGAGATCGTTGAAGGTTACGGACAAAACATTATGAGTGATGGAATGATAAGGAAATAGGTGAGAGCATTTAAAGATGACCGCACAAATGTGCATGATGAAGAACGGAGTGGGCGTCTTTCGGTCGTTATTGAAGATTTGGTGCAGAAAGTGGACGAAAAGGTGAGAGAAAATAAACGCTTTACAATTTCATCGTTGTCCGACTGCTTTCCTCAATATTCTCGTAGGGTTTTGTATCGCATTGTGACCGAGAACTTGAATTACCGGAAATTGTGTTCACGTTGGGTTCCAAAAATGTTGACGGATTTGCACAAAACCCAACTGTTAGGCAGTGCATTGACTTTCTTTGCGCGGTACCACAATTAAGGTGATGATTTTTACACCAAATTGTTACTGGTAACGAAACATGAGTGGCCTACGTCACACCAGAATCGAAACAACAATCCATGGAATGGCGACATTCATCATCAACCAAATAAGTGAAGTTTAAGTAAACAATTTCTGTCCGGAAAATCATGTGCATAGTTTATTACTTTATTTAGACAGAAAAGGAGTATTGCTAGTGGAGTTTCTGCCTCGTAATCAGACAATCACTGCAGCGTCTTATTGTGAGACATTGAAAATCTGCGACGTGCTATCCAGAACAAAAGACGTGGCAAGTTGAGTAAAAGTATTGCTTTGCTGCCTGACAATGCCCGTCCACGTGTGGCTTATCAGACCAAAGGTCTCATCAAATCATTCACATGGGAAACTCTAGATCAGTGGTTCCCAAACTTTTTCAGGCTGGCGCCCCCTATGGCTCCCTAGTTAATTTCTAGCGCCCCCCACAGACATACGCCTCTTTCTTGAAATTTAATACGCTGCAATTTTAAAATATAAAGGTTAAACACAAATGTGTATTTCACAAATGGAACCCCATTTAGTGAACCAATATGTTTTTCAGCTGTTTTAACTGTTTAAGCGCTAGAAATCTAGGACGTCTCGGGCGAATTTACGGCCGGACTCGAGGCCGGTCTCACGACCAATCCCCAAATTCAATTATCAATTAGTATCTCCCAATGTCCCAAACTAATGAACGCAGCTCTATGAAACTTGGAACATGTATTCATCAGAACCTAACGGTGTTATTTAGCTTATAATTTTCTAAATGTCACTTTCATTCGTGAGTCACGCGTATATTGCGAAACAGGCCGAAATTCGCAGTTATCAAAGAATTTCTTCCAAACTATTGAACAGATTTGAACGAAATTTTGAATATACATTCCTAACTACCAAACGCTGATTTTTTAGCTTGTAAATTTTTTTTAGATTTTACCTTTGTTTGCGAGTTTTTTTTTTTTTTCATTTCATCATCATTCTTGATTTCACACTTCCGGCCCGTATCGCCGGGTAATCTGTCACTTAAATTCGCGGCGATCAAGAAATTTCTTCCAAACTACAGAACAAATTTCAATTAAACTTTGTATATAAATACCTAACCTCTCAACGGTGATGTTTAGCTCGTGACAATTTTTTTATTTTGCTTTCGTTCGCGAGTTACACAGAAATTGGAGGAACAAGCGGCTTTTCTACCGGCCGGTTTAACCAAGAGCCGTATAAAGGCAAAAAGAAAACATTGTAACGAGCTAAACATCACCGTTGCTGAGGTTAGGTATTTAAATACTAAGTTTCGTTCAAATCTGTTCAGCAGTTTGGAAAAAATTTCTTGATTATTGTGAATTTAAACACGTATTGCTGTTTAAATCACGAATGAAGGTGAAATAAAAAAAAACTAGCGAACGAAGGCGCAATCGAAAAAATTTTCAGGAGCTAAGCATTACCGTTCGGCAGTTAGGACTGCAAATTCAAAATTTCGTTCGAATATGTTCGGTAGTTTGGAAGAAATTACTTGATCACTGTGAATTTCGGCCCGTATTGCCATATAACTATGGCAAAAACAAACGATGGCAAAAACAAACGATAGCAAAATTCAAGCAATTTTCACGAGCTAAACATTATTGTTAGGCCCTAATGAATACGTGTACTAAGTTTCATCGAGTTAAGTTCAATAGGTTGAGATATATTCCTTGATCATTGAATTTGGAAATTGGCCGGGAGTCCGGCCGTTAATTTTGCCGAGACGAAAACCCAGGAGAGGTTAAAAAAAACAGATCTGGGTGAAAAAACCATCGCTGTGAGTCATGTGCTGCACGCGTTGTGTACAATCGTCAAGCAAACGTTCGAACTTCTGACATCGACTTCGGACTACCGCCCCCCTATCGCCCCCCAACCGCCCTCTTCTTCCTTACCGCCCCCCAAAATCTTTCCACCGCCCCTAGGGGGGCGATATCGCCCACTTTGGGAACCACTGCTCTAGATCATCCTCCATCCAGCCCCCTGATCTGTCGCCCAGCGACTACCATTTTTTCGTGAACTTGAAGAAACATCTGGGCGGTCGGCGTCTTCAATACGATAACGAAGTCAAAACATTTGTGATGCAGTGGTGTAACAAGTCAGGCGGCAGAATTTTATCAGGAGGGTATTGAAAAACTGGTGCCACCTTGTGACAAATGCCTCAATATTCACGGAAATTATGTAGAAAAGTAGATTAAGGTACAATTTCTTGTAAAAATAAAATTATTGCGATATCTTTTGCACGTCTATTCTAAATTCCGAAACGGTATATACTTGAAAAACATGCCTGGTATAGTACGAAACGTCTCATAGAAATTGTGTTGTTGGAAAGAAACTTTGCATATGAACTCATTTCTTCACAAAACGGTCATTAATCCATACAATTTCATAACAACATGATTCTGTTTTCCCATCGAACGTGAATGTGTTGATCCACACAGGATTGTGCTCACTGAAGATCGGTGTGAAACCTAAACTTCGCAGCTTGTGGATGAGCCGCCAGTACTTCTGCTTCGTCGCCGACATTTCAGTTATGAAAATTGCTGAAAAAAAAATCATGAAGGGCAAACCTCATTGTTTTAACACACAAAAAGAAATAAAGTATCCTCACTCCTTTATACTGTACATGTTTTTTAAAGGATAAATAATATAATTTTATCGGGATAAAACTATTTATAATTGCATAAATTCTGAGAAATTTAATCCTTGATCCAATTAGGGCGACCGTAACCAAAAATGCTATCGGTCAATAATGCACTGTTTTTTGCCTTACAAATCAACTACTGACGAAAAATCAATGGAAATTTGACAACTATGAATAATTCTGATATTTCCGTTCATAGCTATGAAATGATACTCACATGGATGTATTTCCATGCCGATCTGCTTGATTCTGAAAAGTAGTTCCTGGTCGTCGTAGAGCACGTTCTCTAGGAAGTCAATCTCGTAGCCCTCGATGTCAATCTTGAAGTAGTCGATGACTGAACTCGTCTTGCCGATCTTTGCTAGGATGTCACGATAGGTGAGCACCTGCGCGATCAATGAACAAGTGACTAGATAGCTCATCCAATCGATCGTTGGTAGGATTTGAATAAACGTTTCTAGAGTTCGTTGTCTTACCGATCATTGCCGCGATGTCGTGGTTAGCGTGAAGCTAAGTGATCAGTAATCAGATTGATGAAGTTCTGATCAATTAGCTTAAATCTAAAGGTGTGTTCAAAGAATGATTAGTTCTTGTTACACGATTTAAATAACATTTCAAATATCATACATTATTGAAAAAGCTCTTGGTAACCAGAGCTTTTACTTACTGTGAGAAAACCTGTTTGATCACTAATAAATCTTTTTCAAGTTTATAACAAAAAATTTTGAAGGTTCAAGGCTGTTCTTGTCATTTTAGAATCTAATATTATGAACAGTAGAAATCAGGATTATCATTTTTGAGCTGTGAAAAAATGTATCCTAAATTACAAGTCCATTATAGATCAATTTCGATTATAAATTCGGTGAGTATCACCCTGAATATTGGTTGCTCAACTTGTTTTAATATCCTTTACGTATAAAATCATAAGCTTATGATATTTTAGTACACTTCTATGCATAAACATCTAGAATATCATATGTATTATAAGTCGGTGTGAGCTCGCCTTGCATTTGGAGAAGAAAATAGTGACTTCTTGGGTGACACCGCCGAGGCCCAGAGGGTAGAAGTGAACTCTCTTGCCTCGGATGTGCTCGGGGTCGCTCATGGTGGGGTCGAAGGCGTACACCTAAGGCAGGAAGAGATAAGTTCGTGCAACCCTACACAGCTTGACTTCAGCCATCAAGCCGTAAGGTCACGTTTAAATTTTTAATTGGAACGGAAGCTGTTCTGTAATGTTATAGGTACTTCAACTTCATATATGCAGTTATTAATGTGCAAATGATTCATTTATTTTCTGGAAGCCACAGAAAACCCAACGTTGATGCCATTATAAATAGATTTAATAGAGTATATTGTGGATAAACCTACACGAGATAGCCTTAGTAGCGTAGACTACAGCTAAGGAAGAATAAGAGTTGATGTGTTGAAAATTTTTTATTTACTTGATATCGCTGATGATTATCTTTTCTCCATATACAGTGACAGGCAAAAGTATTGGATACATTACAGTTTTCTTTTAATCTCAAATTAAAGTGCAATATTTTACCTAATATTTGGTCAGTATATTGCTAATGGTACTAAAAATTTTATATATAAAGGATATTAAGAAGTAAGCAGTGTTTAGATTCTGTTCAACAAATAGAGTAATTAAGCCACGCAAAACTATAGGGTACATGTTCATTAGTGAATAAAAATAACTTTTTTAAGGTACTCAAAATTTGCTTTTCACTTTAGACGTTCTACTAATCTCATATCTTTATCTAATTGGCAAATTACAGTGGCAAATACCTTCGTGCACTGTGTAGGCAAACTGTTTTCAGTGGCTTGAAAGAGATTTGCCTGCATATAGGTGGCGCCTTAAAAGAGATTATTATTTGCCTTAAAAGAGATTTGCCTGTCATCGAATATTCAGACCCTATAAATAATCGATGATTCATCGATGACTGTCACCTATACTCGCCACCCTCTCGATTTATTTATGTTTTATTGTCGATTTTTGCAGATCTGGCCACCCATCGTTACGCCACCTAAAATCATCGGTGCGCCACCCTTAATTTTTATTTGAGTCAGACTCCTTGGATATTATTCAATACCACTTCCGTTTTTTGGGACAATCTTTGATCTTTCGACTCGAATCTGTCGCCAACTCTCGAGTTTTAGCCATTTTAAATTAGGTTTTAAATACGAAGCTGAATAATATCTTCATCGGAACACAAAATCTCGTAAACAATAGCAAACTGATCTGATAGGCCAATTAGATAACGATATGAGATTAGTGGATCGTCGAAAGGGAAAAGAATTTTTTGAGTACCTTAGAAAAAGTTATTTATGTTCATTTTTGAACATGTACCCAATACTTTTGCGAGGCTAATTTTTAAATTTGTTTAAATAAAACCTAGACAATGCTTACTTGTCAATATCCGTTTTATATAATGTTTCTAGGATCATTAGCAATATACTGACCAAATGTTAGGTAGAATCTTTCACTTTAACATGAGATTTAAAGAAAACTGTAATGTATCCAATTTTTTTGCATGTCACTGTACAATTTTGAAGCTATTTGATATAGTTAAAGCTTCTTCTGACAGCATTTAGATTATTCATTTTCAAGCTTTACAGCCAAAATGACACAACTCATTGGCCATCATGAAAAACTCAAAATTTAAATGTAAACACAGGGACGTGCCTATGTAAACACCCATAGGCACGTTGAAGCCTCACCAGCAGTTCTATTTCCCGCCTTTGTTTTCTCAAATAAATTATCACGAAACTCACATCACAACCGTACTCCTCCATGGCGTCGTCAAAGCTCCACTCGTTGTTGATGCCGAAGGAGAGGACGGTGCAGGAGCCTGGAGTGGGCGCAACGCCCTCGTCCAGACACACGCTCTTCACTCCATCATTTTTCAAAATGAAATGATCCCCGAGGCCGCCAAATTGTTTCTGGCGGAATATTGGTGCCAACCTTAGAGAGTGAATTTAATGCGGAGCAAAAATTAAATTATTTCCACTATCTATTCTATGATTAGCGAGATATTGCATAATTATCAGTTTTTTTCCCATTTGCAATAATTTTGCCGATATAATCATAGAAACTACAACTAATACATGTCACTTAGTGCCATGCAGTCGTGCAAGACGACGACAATGATTTTCTAGAGAATATGTTTTCTCTCAGTGGTAACGCCGGCAAAACTTAATTAACAAGATGGCCTGCCAGAAATAATCGTTATAAATAACAACATATATTTTACGCCTGATACATAATGCCAAGTTTTTAGATTTACTGCTACGCCAAAGACTCTTTTTTATTTCAAATGTCCTCTTTTTCAAACTGTCTCTTTATTTCCAATTTATTATTGCGAGCATGACAAGTATCACATAATCCCACAATATAATGTATAATGTAATTACAATTATAATGGTAATTACAAAAAATATTCACCATATTCCGACAGGCGTCGACGGTTTCTCTGACGTAGGCGTAGAAGTCCGACCAGCTCGGCTGAATCTTTTCGTAATCCACGGTGTAATTGCCGCTACCGCCTGAAACGTTCATAGCTCATCTGACATTCTTCATTCTTAATATAAAAGACTTGAAATTGCCTTATGGAATTATATGCTCAATTGACTCACCTGGAATAGGTTGGAGGCTGTTTGAAGTTAATACCGTGACGTTCCTGACACAGACAAGAAAACGTTAGAATTTAGTGTAATAAGGATCAATTATTTCTCGTTAAAAATAACGTTTTTTTCATTATTTGTTTGATATTTATTTATGGATCGATTTTCAGATGATTTAAATTGTTCCTAAATAATGTATTTCGTAAAAATTCATTTTTAGCTCCTAACACAGTTCCATTAGCACGTATTCGGCGATAATACTACTAATATTTATCCATTTCTAGTCCACCTATCGATCAAACAGGAGCGTTATCAAATTTACTGTCATGGTTATCCAATATGCATTGAACAAACCTGAGGTCCAAGTCAATTCACACCATTAAAGAAAAAGTCTTTGCAGGTGGTGGACATTTAAATGCTAACAAACCGGTGCATTTACGAGTTCAAACAAGTCTAAAATAAGCGATATTAATTTCAAATTATGTTCATATTCTACTATGTATTTATTTAATATTTTCAGCGACTTTTGAGGCTCGAGCAATGGTTTGCGTCCCTTATACAAGGTCATGCAAGTCTAACCGATGCCAGAAGTGAATGTAATGCCCCCGAGCCCCGAACTGACCGCGTTTTTAGACAATGGTGGACAAGTTTTTTAGCTTCTGTTCAGGCCGAATCTTTAATTCTGCAGACCATGTTTAGGTTAATTAGTCGAGTTATTTTCATATCATTTAAAATTCTTGGTAGTAGAAAGTAATTTCAATGTTTATATTGTTTGAGTCCCTAGAGTAGCAAATTTCTACTGAATTCCTTAGCAAAGCACGTATTGTGAAATATTGAAATTCAGAACTAATTAATCGTCTGAACCTGTGACCGGTTAACAAGAGAAGGAAAGATGGCGGTTCTTAAATGCATTTATGAGTCGAGGTATATATGTGCGCAAAATCATTCCAACCAATTTATAGGCACATTTTGTCATCTTCTTACATTTCTCCCAAATTTTTTCCATTTTACGATATAAAATATTCAAAATTGCAATTATTAGGTAAATTTTCAATACAGGTGAATTAAAATAAATGATTTCACCTATGACAATTCATCGAGAGAATTGCGGGATATGAATAATGAATAATCCAAGTGACTTGCCTGCTCATTCTACTGATATTCGAGAGGCAAGTTACCATGAAGTGAGTTGCCCTGAGGTGAGTTACCATGAAGTGAGTTGCCCTGAGGTGAGTTACCCTGAGGTGAGTTACCATGAGGTGAGTTATCATGAGGTGAGTTACCCTGAGGTGAGTTACCCTGAGGTGAGTTACCCTGAGGTGAGTTACCCTGAGGTGAGTTACCCTGAGGTGAGTTACCCTGAGGTGAGTTATCATGAGGTGAGTTACCCTGAGGTGAGTTACCCTGAGGTAAGTTACCCTGAGGTGAGGAGTTACCCTGAGGTGAGTTACCCTGAGGTGAGTTACCCTGAAGTGAGTTACCCTGAGGTGAGTTACCATGAGGTCAGTTATCATAAGGCGAGTTAAATTCGCATAAAATTCACAAATACCCCAAGTTTGCCGGCTTATCATCCTGGTATATTGGCATGAGTTGCATCAAATTAAGCTAAACTGCCCACAATGAAAATTGTTACCGTCAGCATTACTCACGGATCTTTGATGCAGTATTTATAGATCAAAATCGTGGATAAAACTAACGATGTCACCGTGAGCACCGCCATTAGTTTGAAGTCGTTGTCGAACTGAAGACGAGTTTTGAGACGCACAAACAGGCGCTGGTGACTACTGCTGCTCTTTGATTCTTTCATGATGATGATTTTCCAGATGCGTACGAATAAAACTGATCGTAAGAGTTTAGTTTCTACGTACAACCTGCCACTCAATGAATCAGAAAAGGAAGAGAAGGTTAAAATAAGAAGTGGCAAAAATGTGGTAATCTATAAATGCCGAATTCTTATTGAGGTACGTCACTCCGTAAAAAAATTATGCATGTTTTTCCAGTGCTTATGAAAATATAGGAACTTCCTATGTATATGCAAAGGAAGTTTTCGTTGTACACGTTATCGTACGGATTAGTCGATCATATCTCATAACTCAAATTATATTGTTCCTTGTTCCCAGTCGCTGCTAACTGACGATATACCTTGAACAAATAACTGAGCAGTGTATTTTAAAAGCCAATAATTTTTCTGGCAAGAAATATCTCAGTTCAATAATAGCGCTGCCACAACTTGAATGGGTTCCTCCTTTCATCAGAGCTTGAAGATCAATCAACAGATCGAAGGAAGATAGGCACGCCTCTCGGCAATTAAGAGACGTTCTCGCGTCATACTGTGATGGTAAAATATTTGTCATAATGACATAACGCCTCTCAAAAATATCCTATCAATATCTCAAAATTACCAATTATCCTTGAAATTACCATAATTTTATTGTAAAAGGTATCGAGATAGCAAAAATTAGCGGAAATTGTTTTGATATTGGAGTTAAAGGCCTTCCCTGATGCTTTAAATTCAACGTCGATGAAAAAATTTTTGTTGTCTCCAAAATTTTCAAAATTTGGTTCCCGGATCCGAGTTTTATGCGTCCATATAATATGGAGAAAATATAATGAATAAAAAAATGAGATTGCGTCCGCGACAAGTGAAAAATTATTATTTCAATGAGTGATACGGCAAAACAATCGTTACCTTCTCTGACATGCAACAGTCAAGCATGTCAGCCCCATTTTTGAGAGAAAAGATTTCGTAAAAATATAGAAGATGCTATATGCACTGATAAACAAACGCATGAAGTGTCACACCGTTCACAAGCGCAACAAATCTATTTCCCAAGTCATGCAGGGTTCATAGAAATTAATTATTAATTAGAACTTTTGGAATTGGCACGAATTGGATTACTCGAAAAATTTGGAGTTAAATTTTGATGTGATGGAAAAAATCTGCTAAAAAACTCGATCAGCATTTTATCAACTAAAGAATAGTTCGTAGAAAATATAATTAGTTCGGCAGATTCTATATTACAAAAGAAACTTGCACCTGTATAAAAAATTTATTCACTCGGTGTTTCCGTGATTTGCGCATAGTCATTAAACAAAATACTATTTATACATAGTCATCACATTTATACGTCACACAATGCATTCTGCATTGAATACATGAAATACCCTACGAAAAGTTGGGCAATATCGCTTGTCATTCTGCTGGTGTGTATTTACGTCAAGAACAAACATCAGGAGGGACTGCGAATGCTGCGTGTTGTGCTTGCACCGACGCCTATGGATAGCAGCAGTAAACTAAGACTGGTTCTCGCCACTGAGCTAAGATCAAGAATGTAGTTTAACCTTCAACTCTAATGCTAGTAAAAAACGGAGGTAGATTGCCGGCGAGAAACCGTCTGTTTTTCTAAGGTCTGAAAGCGCAAAAAAAATATATGGCAGAATTTCGGACGTCCATTAAACCGAGTTTAGCTTCTCAGCAACGTGTGAAGTATTCCATGCTAACATTAGATTACAATTTAAATGTGAGTTGTATAAATTTTTCATTGCAGTCAGTCCACTAATGTTTGAAAAACTTTGGGATTAATTTAGGTTAAATTTTAAATTTCATATCATTCAGAATGTTCAATCTCTTTTATTGGGCCTTCCTTTTTTTAAATCGGAAAGCAAAAGCTATTTGCTCTGCAAGCAGCTAGACTCGCGCGATAACTAAGCAAGCATTTTATCCATATTTTTATAAGGTAAGTTCATAATAACAGTTTCCATTCGGCTGGCGTTTAATCAAATTTTATAGTCTGTAGAGTTTCATTCATATTTTTAATTTTGCTTGGTTTGAATCATGTTTTCGTTTCTGCTAGCTTGTAATCCAATATTAGAATTTTCAAGTTTAAAATAATATTTCTATTCTGCCAGCTTCTAATCATGTTTTCGATTCTACAATCTTACAATCATTGTTTTCTGAAAGCTTACAGTCATAAACATAGCGGATTCAGCGCTTATTAGGCCGTAGGCCTGAAGTCGATTCTAAACATCGTAGAACATTCACAGCTTGTTGCGGTCTCGAACTCAAATCTCACTGCTCCAAATTCTGCTGTGCTTAAAACTACCTGGCCTCGGTACTCTGAACGGTAACCGCAGGGCCACCCTGCCCTGGTATAGTCATATTCCATTTGTACAAGCAGGTAATGACACTTTCAATTCCTCATGCATCTAATGAAATTTTAGAATTCTTAAGCTTATATTTATGATACTAGAAGCCTGTAATCGTTTTCTCGATTCTATTAATTTATAATCTTTATTATTTTGCAAGCTTGTACCCATATTCTATTCCGCAAGCACATAATCAAATTTTAGTATTAGCAAGCTCATAATAATATTTTCAATTTTGCCAGGTTATAACCACGTGTTAATTGCGTTAGCTAAAAAGCGTTGTTGCGGGCGAGCGGGCAACATATAACATAACATATCATAGTGATGTCGTCAAGAATAGCCTGTCGATTCAAGGAAAGCCTATGAGTTCGAACGATATTTTTAAAAAGGATCCACTCACATAAAATTCCGGGGCCGAGTTGTTCGACGCCGACGAAGGTTGTCGTCTGCGCCGTTCAACAAGGACCGCTTGGTTGGGGAACGTGCAGGACTCAGATGTCGCTATTGTCCGTGAGCGACTAAAATAATTAAAAATTTTTAAATACAGTGAAAATACGCAGCACAATACTGGAGCGCAGTGAGGTAGTAGCCCTTGCCTTAAGGCAATTGACAATGTCGTCAAACACATGTATCACAAAGAATTAAATTATCTATTCGTGAAGGTTACATTAAAATACAATTTCATCAATGAACATGATTACATGCGTGCAGAATAATAAGCGAAATGCGTTTGTAGTGGTCGCAGACGCAGAAATTGGTTGTTTGTCACAGAACCGAGCTAATATACGAATTTGAGAGGGTAAAGCCCTCGTTGGTATTTCTCATTACATGGCCACGACACTCAAGGCGACGCAATGTCAGCGATTTAACGAGACATAGTGTCGGTGAAACGAGGCGACATAGTGCCAACAAAACGTATATTGTGAGAGACTGATGTTACGTACTCGCCACATAAGATGTTGTCAATATGACAACTTTTTACTTTGCCCGTAACGCTGTGCGTGACATTGTACACGTTGCTACCTATTTTCTCGGTAACTATGTAGGGGCCTCCAAAATTTGGGCGCAGTGTCCGAAAAGCGTTCTCTTTTTGCATGCCCCGGACAAAACATCGTTGCCCAAGAGACATTGAACGCATTAAACTTTTGTGGCATCGGCTTTCATGAAGCTTACGTTGACATTACTTCTGGCAGATCGTTTATAAAAGCAACAAACAAAACAGGCCCATGAACGCTTCCTTGTGGCACGCCACTGCGCGCTGATGCCCAGTCTGACACGGTTCCGTTAATACTGACACGTTGTCGTCTACCTACTAGAAAATCACTGATCAATTGGAATACGTTTCCCTCTATTCCAAAAGCCTTCTCTTTGAGCAGCAGCCGTTCATATATAGGCTTTCGCCGTCAATTTTAGACTTGAAAGTGAGGAACTGTTAAAAAATTAGGTAACAAAAAAGAATTTCAGAAATCTGGTTCGTAAACTTTTATTAACACTAGTTCCCACCTAAACCTAAATATATAACAAAACCTATATAACTTATGAATCTACTCCACAAGGCACATAAGACAGAACCCTCCCACAACCACAAGGAACCAATCCGACAAGGATTCAGACCATATTGAGACAGACCATGTTGAGCATCTAGACACAACCAGCCTAAATCCACGAATGAGTAGTCGTGACCGCTGCGACGCCTCCTTGGAGTCTCCAAACTCTCTGGCAGCCCTGATGACTTGGATGCCTCCTCGGGATTCCCAAACCTCGCGGCTCAGCAGCACAGTTCTCAACTATTCTCAACTAACTCAGCAGCATGCACAGTCCTCTGCTTGGTGGCCCATCCGCAACAAGCAGAATACTCTATTGGCTTCGCGAATTTCCAGTTAGAAGATGCAGAGAAAATCGCTAACTTTATGTGAATATATATTTATTAAAATATATCTTCATGTTTATGTAACAATATCAGTCTATAATCAGTTAGTCTCGCAGTGCTGTTTACGTTGCACATTAAATACGGCACCACAGTCTGTACCATACTAGCTATAGTGGCGTGAAAAACCGCCTAGTGTTGAAGATTACATTGAAAACCATTTCAAGCTATTCTTTTGCGGCAAATCTACCGCCTCACATCTGCGTGTAATGTTGCAACTGAACGCAGCACATCTGCTCAAGGCAGCAGACATCAGACAAGGCAGCAGACGTCAGGCAAGGCAGCATACACCAGGCAAGGCAGCAGACATCAGACAAGGCAGCAGACGTCAGGCAGGGCAGCAGACGTCAGGCAAAGCAGCAGACGCCAGGCAGGGCAGCAGACATCAGACAAGGCAGTAGTCAGGCAATCAGCAGTTCGCTAGTTTCTCAACTGACATTTGCACCCATGCGGTGCGAAAAAAATGTTACAAAAAAGCTTTAGTACTACGCTAAAAAATTTCCCGTCCCTGAATCTTGATGCTTGACGAGCTTTACTGCCAGCAAAAAATTTCCGTTGTAGGCAAAAACAAATTTTAGGTTTAATCTCGATAAGCGGGGTTCCCAACCAAACCGGATTTTATTTTATTTGTAAGTGTTTCAACTCGTCTATTCTTTTTTCCGTTGACTGAATAATTTATAATAACTTTCACGAGATTCTATCTTAGAAATAAACACCGTGCTTTGCAATGCACCGTCCACTGTACTGTGTACTGAGCTTTGCACTGTGCAATGTACAGTGCTATGAATTTTGCTCTTCAATTTACCCCTTAGTCGGCCATCTCGAAAGAAAACATTTCCGGGTGCGATGGTCAATTAAGACAATCAGATTTTTGCTTGCGTCGTTTCCTTGAGTCAAGAAGATGGGCACGTGGTTACAAGCAACTCTACATTTTCAAACACTTTTTAGCATATCAATGCATACAAAACTGTACCGAAATGAAATTGTGTAATTTCTGAACAACCATATACGAAATTGTAAATTAATTAGGTGTAGGTTTTTCCGTGCTTACGGTAAGCTGTGGCTGAAAGCGGCTTCACAAACCGTCTTTCCACATGAGATTTTGTTTTGGTTCATTTTGATATTAACATAAAAACCGCTGACTTCTATGAAGATATGAGGGATAATCAAGACTTATTTGACAAATCGAATTATCCAGAGGATAATTTCATATATTCAAATCAGAACAAAAAAGTAATCGGTAAAATGAAAGATGAAACTAGCGGCATTCCCATAAAAGAATTTGTAGGTCTTCGAGCAAAGCTGTATAGTTGTCAAACAAAATGTTCTGTAACTAAAAAAGCTAATGGTATAAAGAAATTTTTTATTGAAAGGAATACTACCATGGATGACACTATGAGAGCACTAAATAATGAGACTATTTACAAAACAATGTATAATATAGAGAATGATAATCATGAATTGTATACGAGAGAAATTAATAAACTTGCAGTGAATGTTGACGATAATAAAAAACGTACATTAGCAGACGGTATAAATACGCTAGCATTAAACCACTGTAATGCAAGCTGATAAAAGTGTTTATAAAATAATCTTTTAAAAATGATAGTCTACAATAAAATAACTATCCTGATCTACTGTTGATCGATAATTGTGAATATTTGAATCACCTGAAATCATTTCTTCGTAGTGAAAAAATTGGGAGTTGCATTTTTAATACGATATTAGAGAAATGGCCACTTCCAGAAATTCATTTACGATTAACCTTCAACATTCAATCTGAGCATGTTCTTCACAGTTCTTTCAATAATAAGCATACATACTCCATCTGTGGTCCTGGCACTAAGATGCAAAAAAGACTGAATGAAGGTTATAAGGGAGTTAATTCATTGGATAGAGCTTGTAGAAGTTGTAGAGAGCATGATATATTTTATAGTACACATTCAAAAACTAAAGACAAACAAGTCTGATGATATCCTAGCGAAGAAAGCGGCTGAAATTGCGGTAGATCCTAATGAACCTTAATATGTTAGAACTGATGCAAAGTTAGTTAATGCTATAATGGCTGGAAAAGGTTATGTAGGTCTTAGAGTATCTAAAAACGTAGATATCCACTAACAGAAGCGAGTAGTAAAATTGAAAAAAAAAATTATTTTACGTCCTAAAACCAGCTATGTGGGGACAAATGAACTTGTTCGTAGGAGTGGTTATCTCGAAAGCAAGTCACAAATTAGTTGGAGTTACAGGAAACGTACACTTTACAATCTACATCAACCTATAGAATATAATTTCATCACAATAAGAGTCAAAGAAACAAATATCTATGATCAATGGCAGTCAGATTTAGTTGACATGCAAAAGTATACAGATAAAGGTAAAAATTACATCCTAACTGTGATTGACATCTTTAGCAAACATGCATGGGCAGTTCCTATACGTAGAAAAACTGGTGAAGAGATTATAACCTCTTTCCAAAAGCTTTTCACTGAACGAATTTCCTGAAAAATTTAAACAAAGGTCTAAAGTTCATTAACAAGCTAACACAATAGTTATTCCTAAAGTTTGAAATTCAATGTTTTGCAACTGAAAATGAAACTAAAGCTCAAGTTGTTGAGAGATTTAACCGAACTCTCAAGACAAAACTGTAAAAATATTTCACGTACGCCAAGACAAAAAAGTGGGTAGATATTTTACCAGATTTAGTTGATAATTATAACAATAGTTATCATAGATCAATAAAAATGATTCCTCGTAAAACTTCAATGGAACAGAACAGTAAAATAGTCTATGCAAATTTATTCCCCGAAATAAAGACGGTTGTAAGAAAGCCTAAATTGAAGATTGGAGATAGTGTCTGAATTAGTAGAAAACGTAAGAATTTTAATAAAGTACTGTATATCTCACTAATTTCACACGTGAGTTATTTATCATCTCTATACTATTAGAGACGAAACCAGTAACTTATAGGCTGGAAGATATGAGCGGTAAAGAAGTAATAGAGTTTTTACGAATAATTATCTAAATATAGTAGCGATGATTATGAAATTGATAAACTTCTGAAAAAAATTTAAAGGGAAATTGTTAGTTAAATGGAAGGGATACGATGACCCATCTCGATATTCCAGAAGCTGAACTAACATCAAGTTAAACTGAACTTAAGTTAAACACACATTAAGTTCAAAATGAACACACATTGAGTTCTAGATGAACAGACATTGAGTTCAAGTTGTTTGAGATATTTTACTTAATAAAATGACGTGAATTGATATAAAACAAAACAAGATTTTATAAAATTAAGAGACTTAAAAAACTATTCACACAAGAAAAATTTGCGGAATAAGATTTATACAATGATATTAAAAAAGTATATAAGCCTCTAATTGAACCTCTCAGCAAATGGTAGGAGAAACTAAGCAAAAATGGTTAGCTCTGAAAGATGCTCCCAGAGAACTATTAACAATCAAATCTGCTAAAAGATTGGCATTAAATCCACCAGACTCAAAAAAAGTCACTGAAAGGACTAGCTAGTTCAATAGCTGAAACTTTTTAAAATTTAGCGTTCAAACCTGGATCTGAGTATGACAAAGCTTATGGCATGAAATTTGATGGTAAAAACGTTATGCTAGGAGATACAATAGTCAACACCAACGTAATGATTTAGGGATTGGTAATGAAGTTTTTGAAGGAACTGTTGGGTTATGGGAACTACTAACAAAACAATCCCCTGAGAACTATGAAGAAAATTATGTGGCAAATTATCTAACGATTTTGAGACAAACTAAGGCTCATCTCAAGCCGGTTGGAACAATAAAAGCCAACAAAGGAGAGAAGTACAACAAATTCATCCAACCACTCTATAAAGTGATGCAGAAATAAAATTAATGTTATGAAGTTACTAGAATAAAAGCTGCATGTTCCACATCGTCTAGGGATCGAGCTCCGGAATCAAGACCAGATATTGATTCAGATGTTTCAGGATCAGGAATAATAGTTTTAGCTACTAACGTCAATGATACTGTTGCAGGACATCAATTGTTATTTGGCTTTATAAACAAAATTTATTTATTGAGCGTGATGTTAAACTATTGAATGATTTTTGTTTAAGAAAATTGAATTACAAAAATTAGTTATTACCTGTGGAAACAGTGATATACGACACGAATTTCACGCCACCAATAAAATTGGATACAAACAAATTTCATGAATGGCATTGGTGGGACTGGATATGTGTCACTCCATCCCGAATATCGATGAGACAAATAATATAATATTATAATATTATATTATTTGTCTCATATAATATGTATAATATAATATATATTTCTGTATAATATTTCTGTTGGGAAACATGGTATAGTAATCCCTATAACTATACCGACCGGATGCTATGAGATAGAGAGTATGAATAAGATAATCAAAAATGCATACGGAAACGAGTACTCGATTGATACAAGATCGAACACCAATACTCTGAAATGTGTAATAACTAATCGTGATTTTGACTTGAAAATTTATTTCAGCAAACTCAACAGTCTACATACTCTGTTTGGGCTTTGATACTGGAGTGTTGGAAAGTGTTGTAGAACATGATTTACATATATAGTAAATATAATTTCTGTTAATGCAATACTTGTTCATTGGCAGTATAATCAAAGGATCGTATCTCAATGGCGATTTTAACTATATCGTGTACACATTTCTTCCCAATGTTCCCCCAGGATATACAATTGAATGGATATGGATATCATACAATGGGTATCATACAATGTTCCACAGGATATGAATTGATGAATCAATTCATAATGTTGATGAAACTCATGATTATGAGCCTCAAATTAGAACTGATTTAAATCGTGAACGCAATGAAAGCAAGTTTATTATTCGGTATCAAGATCAGTTCATACTACCATCAGACAGTTACCTATGCATCGAAGGGACTTTAACGAAAAAAGATGGTAGTAATTATAACTGCAAAGGTGATAAAATGTCAGTTATCGATAATGGTCTGATGTTTTTATTCGATCGAGTATCGTATAGAATTGGGAATGAGGAAATTGAGGGCTATAGTTATCCTGTGATTGCCACAACTCTGATAGGATTGACAACATAGCAACGAAGCATCGAAGAAAGTATGATGCTCTTTTGGAGTATTGTTCTGCTACTTACAAAAGTTCTTATTGTTCCTCACTGCTTATTACAAAGGTTTTTATGTTTACTTACTGCTGTAGCGGGAAACTACTTCATCTAAAGCTTTCAAGGTCTCTGCCAGCGGGTCCATAGGGTTCGTGGACGATTGAAACAACTAATATACGCGGACGTCAACATTGGCCTGAACTAAGGATGAAGTTCAGGTAAATGTTTACTCAAGAGATTTGCAGTAATTATTTGGAAACGCAAAATACAATTACACTTGAGAGGTCCAGATGACGAAGAAAGTTAATACAACAGAGATAGGCACAACAATGGTAATGATATGTAAAGTCGCTGCCTACTAGAGTCAGACAACATCCGCAGACAGTTCCGCTTATACATTTTTCTCGGCAGTCTTCTTTCGAGGAGTGCGGCGGCTTGAAACCTAGTACACAAAACGAGGCCAATATCTGGCCCGCTGCACTGCTACTTACAAAATTTCTCATTGTTACTTACTGCTACGTACAAAATATCTTATTGTTACTCACTGCTACTTACAGAAGTTTTTATGTTTACGTACTGCGACTTAAAAAGTTCTTATTGTTACGTACTTCTTACAAAATTTTTATGGTTAGTTACTGTTAAAAAGAGAAAACTTCCAAAAATGTTATTGTTACTCACTGCTACTCACAAAAGTTTTTGATTACTTACAGCTACTTGAAATTTTTTTGTTGGGAAATACTGCTACTTATATACAACAGTTTTATTGTTACTTACTGTTACCTAAAAAATATTTCTTGCTAAGAGCTTATATTAGAAATAGAAACACAGCATAAAATGCAGAGGTCTATAAAAAGGCAGTGGATACATCAGGACACATTCCATTGCTTTCAATAACTCGTATTTTATTATTTTCCTCCCATTAGTTATAGAATTTCTTAAATTAACACTGATCCTGAAACTTTTTAACATTGAAAAAATAATAAAATACTCCTGTGTGTTCTAAACACGACAATTTTGCATTCAGCAAAGTCATTCTATTAAATTGATCAAGACTGAGAGATTTTTATGAAAGTGAATTACCATCATTTCAACTAGATTTTTTTTTGCTCGCGCATTAAAATCATACATCGCTTTGCTTGCAGCCATATAAGGCAATTTATGGTCTTGACACCTATGCCGTGTTAAGCTTTCATTTGAACTCCCACAGCCAATAAGAGAACCCGAGTGTAATCGTGAAATTTGCTGTAATTTTAAGAGAGTTCACATGCTATGAAGTGGTGGTTGTCACATGAAGAGGCAACAACAAAGAATTAGATACGCTTTAATCATTATTTTCATTTAAACGCGGTAAATTGCGCATTATGAAAAAATGAAATTGAACAAGCTTGTTATGCATTACCCGTTATATATTTTGTTGCGTGTACCATGCTTCTATTAGTATCATTCCTAATGACTTGCATTCGTGATTCTTACCCTTATGCTCATAACAATAATACGAAATGTCTCCTATAAATTGTGTTGTTAGAAACTTTGACTAAAAACTCATTTCTTCACAAAGCGGTTATTAATCCATACAATTTCATAACAACAAAGCGATTCTGTTTTTCCATCGTACGTGTATGAGAGGAGCCATACAGGAATGGGCTCACCGAATATCGGTGTGAAACCTAAACTTCGCAGCTTGTGGACGAGCCGCCAGTACTTCTGCTTTCTCACCGACGTATTTTCACTTGCGAAAACCGCTGAAAAAAAGAATCATGAAGGGCAAACCTCAGACAACTCATTGTTTTAGCACACAATTAGAAATAAAGTATCCTCACTTTTTATACGTGCTTTTTGAAGGATAAATAATTGAATTTTATCGTGATAAATCTATGTATAATTGAATTAATTCTGAGAAACTTAATCCTTGATCCAATTAGGACGACCTTAACCAAACAGGCAACCAGTCAATAATGTACTGATTTTGCCTTACAAATCAACTTTTGGCGGAAAATCAATGGAAATCTTACGATTATAAATAATTCTGATATAGCGGTTCATACAAAGCAAGCTGAGAAATTTAACTCACTTGGGTGTAGTTCCATGCCGATCTGCTTGATTCTGAAGAGTAGTTCCTGATCGTCGTAGAGCACGTTCTCTAGGAAGTCAATCTCGAAGCCCTCGATGTCGACCTTCAAGTAGTCGATAACTGAGTTCGTCTTGCCGATCTTTGCTAGGATGTCACGATAGGTGAGCACCTGCACGATCAATGAACAAACGATTAGCTAGCTCATCCTGTCGATCGTTGCTAGGATGTTGCGGTAGGTGAGGACCTGCACGATCAATGAACAGATGATTGGATAGCTCATCCTATCGATCGTTTCTAGGATGTTGCGGAAGGAGAGGACTTGCACGATCAAGGAACAAACGACTAGATAGCTCATCCTAGCGATCGTTGCTAGGATGTTGCGGTAGGTGAGGACCTGCACTATCAATGGTCAGACGATTTGCTAGCTCATCCTGTCGATCGTTGCTAGGATTTGAATGAACGTTTGAGGAGCTCGTCGTCTCACCGATCATTGCCGTGATGTCGTGGTTAGTGTGAAGCTAATTGATTAGTAAAGAGATTTCAACTTTTTTACGAACGCGACAACAGTTCAGCTTGTTACTTGTTACAACAAATTGCATGAACGTGAATGCTTAGTTCTTGTTACACGATTCAAATAACTATTCAGATATCATACATTTTTAATAAGGCTCAAAGTAACCAGAACTTTTACGTACTGTGAGAAAACTTGCTCCATCGCTAACGAATCTTTTTTAGTCTTACAACAAAAAATTATTAAGGCTCAAATAAGGCTTTTCTTGCCATTTTAGAGTCTAATGTAATTTTATGGGAAGGTTCAGGATCATCATTTTAGAGCTGTGAAAACGTTGCTGCTAAATTACACGTCCATTATAAGATCCATTTCGAACATAAATTCCGGCAATACCACACTTCACATTGCTCAATTTTTTGTAATATCCTTTATATGAGAAATCATAAGTGTATGATATTTTGGTACACCTCTACGCATAAACCTCTATAATATCATTTGTATTATACGTCGGTGGTAGCTCGCCTGACATTTAGCAGAGAATATTGACTTGGAGAGGAGAATATCGACTTCTTGGGTGACACCGCCGAGGCCCAGAGGGTAGAAGTGAACCCTCTTGCCTCGGATGTGCTCGGGGTCGCTCATGGTGGGGTCAAAGGAGTACACCTAAGGCAGGAGGAAATAATTTAAGTTAAGTTCATACAAACCTACACAGCTTGACTTCATCCATACAAACCGTTTGGTCAGTTTTAAATTGGAACAGTAGTTGTTTTGTAATGTTATAAGTACTTCAATTCCATGCATGCAGTGATTAATGTGCAAATGATTCATTTATTTTCTGGAAACCACCGAAAACCGTACGTTGATGCCATTTTAAATAGATTTGATTGAATATATTGTGGACAAACCTACACGAGATTGCCTTAGTAGCGGAAACTACAGCTAAAGAAGAATAAGAGTTGATGTGCTGAAAAATTCTGCTTTAATTGCAATCGCTGATGATTATTTTTTCTTATATATAATGTTGAAGCTCTTTGACATAGTTAAAGCTTCTTCTGACTGCAGTTAGATTATTCATACTGAAGCTTTACAGCCAAAATGAAACGTACAACTCATTGGCCATCATGAAAAGCCTTAAAATTTAAATGTAAATACAGGGACGTTGAAACCTATAGGCACGTTTAAGCCTCACCAGCAGTTCTATTTTCCGCCTTTGTTTTCTCAAATAAATTATCTGGGAACTTACATCACAGCCGTACTCCTCCATGGCGTCGTCAAAGCTCCACTCGTTGTTGATGCCGAAGGAGAGGACGGTGCAGGAGCCTGGAGTGGGCGCGACGCCCTCGTCCAGACACACTTTATAATTTCCGTCAGTTCCCACTATAAAATGATTGTCTTGGCCGCCAAATTGTTTCTGGTGGAATAATGGGGCCAACCTTAGAGAGTGAATTTGTTTCCAAGCCAAAAAGAAATAATTCTCACTCTCTATTCAAAGATTATGAAGACATTTGCAAAAAAATTTCCCATTTGCAAGAATTTTTCCGACATAATCATAGAAACTGCCACTAATACATGTCACTCATGCAGTCGTGCAAGGCGACGACAATGATTTTCTAGAGAATATTCCTCTCAGTGGTAACGCCGGCAAAACTTAACAAGATGGCCTACCAGAAATAATCGTTATAAATTACAACATTTTTCAATAATTTACGCCTGATAGATAATGCAATCATTTATTAGATTTACTGCTTTGCAAATAACCCTTTTTTTCATTTCAGACCCTCTCCAAAAAGTCTTTTTTCTAAGTTATTATTGCGTGCATGAAAAGAATCATATAAGCCCACAAAACCAGATTCAGCTTCAGACAGGCAATGTATATTTCATGTAAAAACTTTTATAATGGTAATTACAAAGCAATATTCACCACATTCCGACAAGCATCGACGGTTTCTCTGATGTAGGCGTAGAAGTCCGTCCAGCTCGGCTGAATATTTTCGTAATCCACGATGTATTTACCGCCATCGCCTGAAACGTTCATAGCTCATCTGACATTCGTCATTCTTAATTTCTTAAGATAAAATACTTGAAATTGCCTCATTGGAATGATCTGCTCAATTACTTGCTGGAAATGTTGTGAGCCAAATACTTTTTACGTATAAATGATATTGACTCACCTGGAATAGGTTGGAGGCCTTTTAAATTTAATACCGTGACGTTCCTGTCAGAGACAACAGAGCGTTAGAAATTAGTGTAACAAGGAGCAAGTATTTCTCGTTAAAAATGTTTTTTTTTCATTATTCATATGATATTTATTCATGAATGAATTTTCAGATGATTTGGATTGTGCCTAAATAATGCATTTCGTACAAATTCATTTATAGCTTCTAACACTGTTCCATTAGCACGTATTTGGCGATAATACTACTAATATTTATCCATTTCTAGTCCACCTATCGATCAAACAGGAGCGTTATTGAATATACTGTCATGGTTATCCAATATGGATTGAACAAACCTGAGGTCCAAGTCAATTCACACCATCAAAGAAAAAGTCCTTGCAAATGGTGAACATTTAAATGCTAACAAACCGGCGCATGTACGAGTTTAAACAAGTTAAAAATAAGCGCTATTAATTTTAAGTTAATATAGTATTCTATTATGTACTTTTTTAAATATTTCAGCGACTGTTGAGGCTCGAGCAATGGTTTGCGTCCCTTGTACCACGTCATGGTCATGCAAGTCTAATTAACCAGTTCAAGAAGTGCAAGAACTGCCCTTGAGCCCCGAACTGACGGCGTTTTTAGACACTGGTGGACTGGACAAGTTTTTTAGCTTCTGGTCCGGCCGAATCTTTAATTCTGCAGACCATGTTAATTTATGTTGATTAGTCGAGTTATTTTCGTATCATTTAAAATTCTCGGCAGCAGAAATTAGTTTCAATGTTTAGCTATATTGTTTGAGTCGCAAAAGTAGCAAATTCCTACTGAATTCCTTAGCAAAGCACGTATTGTGAAATATTGAAATTCAGAACTAATTAAAATTAATCGCCTGAACCTTCGAGCGGTCAACATAAGAAGGAAAGTACGACGGTTTTTATATGCATTCCTGAGTCGGGGTATAAATCTGTTCAAAATCCATCCAATCAATTTATAGGCACATTTTGTCATCTTTTCACATACTTAGTTTCTTTAATTAGGACATTTTAAATATTTAAAAACGTAATTATTAGGTAAATTGTCAACAACAGTCAATTAAAATGAATTGTTTGGAATGATTTCACCTATGAGATAATTGCGGGATATGAATAATGAATAATCCAAGTGACTTGCCTGCTCATTCTACAGATAGGCGAGAGATGAGTTACCCTGAGGTGAGTTACCCTGAGGTGAGTTACCTTGAGGTGAGTTACCCTGAGGTGTTACTCTGAGGTGAGTTACCCTGAGGTGAGTTACCCTGAGGTGAGTTACCCTGAGGTGAGTTACCCTGAGGTGAGTTACCCTGAGGTAAGTTACTCTGAGGTGAGTTACCCCGAGGTGAGTTACCCTGAGGTGAGTTACCCTGAGGTGAGTTACCCTGAGGTAAGTTACTCTGAGGTGAGTTACCATGAAGTGAGTTACCCTGAGGTGAGTTGCCATGAGGTCAGTTATCATAAGGCGAGTTTAAATCACATAAAATTCACAAATACCCCAAGTATGCCGGCTTATCATCCCGGTATATTGGCACGAGTTGCGTCAAATAAATGTGATAAATTGCCCACAATGAAAATTGTTAACGTCAGCATTACTCACGGATCTTTGATGCAGTATTTATAGATCAAAATCGTGGATAAAACTAACGATGCCACCGTGAGCACCGCCATTAGTTTGAAGTCGTTGTCGAACTGAAGACGAGTTTTGAGACGCACAAACAGACGCTGGTGACTACTGCTGCTCTTTGATTCTTTCATGATGATGATTTTCCAGATGCGTACGAAGAAAACTGATGTAAGAGTTTAGTTTCTACGTACAACCTGCCACTTAATGAATCAGAAAAGGAAGAGAAGGTTAAAATAAGAAGTGGAAAAATGCAGTAATCTATAAGTGCCGAATTCTTATTGAGGTACGTCATTCCGTACAAAATTATGCATGTTTTTCCAATGCATATGAAAATGTAAGAACTTCCTATGTATATGCAATGGAAGTTTTCGTTGTCCACGTTATCGTACAGATTAATCGAACATATCACAAAACCCCATATATATTGTTCCCATTCGCTGCTAACTGGTAAAATACCTTGAACAAATAACTGAGCAGTGCATTATAAAATCAATAATTTTTCTGGCAAGAAATATCTCAGACCAATAAAAGCGCTGCCACAACTTGAATGGGTTCTTCCTTTCATCAGAGCTCGAAGATCAATCAACAGATCGAAGGAAGATATGCACGCCTCTCGGCAAGAGACGTTCTCGCGTCATTCTGTGATGGTAAAATATTGGTCATAATGACATAACGCTTCACAGGAATATCCTATCAATATCTCTAAATTGCCGATTTTTCTTGAAATTACCATAATTTTATTTTAAAAGTTATAGAGATAATAAAATTAACAAAAAATGTTTTGCTTTTTGAATTGATGGCCTTCCCTGATGGTTTTAAATTTAACGTCGATGAACAAAAATTTTTAGTTGTCTCAAAGATGTGCAAAATTCAGCTCCCGTATCCTAGTTTTATTCATCCATATAATATAAAAAATCTCGCTACTCACTGCAGTGAGTGACAGCGCATTTTCTCGTCGACGAAAACGAGAAGTCACGGTCGGACAGACGGACGGACGGACAGACGGACATGGCGAGCACAATAGTGCATTTTTTCCATAAATGAGAAAATGCGCTAAAAAATATAAAGAAATTGAGATTGCGTCCGCGACAAGTGAAAAATTATTATGTCAATAAATATGATACGGCAAAATAATCGTTAACTTCTCTAATCTGCAACGGTCATGTATGTTAGCCCCATTTTTTAGAGAAAAGATTTTGTAAATATATAGAAGATGCTATGCACTGATAAATAAATGCATAATGTATCACACCGTTCGTAAGCGCAACAAATTTATTTCCCAAGTCTTAAGTATTCATATAAATTAAATTATTGATTACAATTTTTGGAATTGGCGCAATTTGGTTGCTCGAAAAATCTGGAGTTAAATTTTAATGAGATCTGCTAAAAAACTTGATCAGCCTTTTATCAACTAGAAAATAGTTCCTCGAAAATATAATCAGTTCGGCAGACTTCTATATTACAAAATAAACTTGCGCCTAGATAAAAAATGTATTTACTGGGTGTTCCCGTGACTTTGCTTATACATAGTCATTACACAAAATACAATTTATGCACAGTCATTACACATATTACACTGAATACATGATATATTCTGCGAAAAGCTGAGCATATCGCTTGTCATTCTGCTGGTGTGTATTCACGTCAAGAACAAACATCATGAGCTGCGTGTTGTGCTCACCGACGCCCATGGATGACAGCAGTAAACTGTGCAAAATTGGATCCTGTAGCTTTTGAAGTTATGCGTTGTATGACCTTCGGCTGAGATCCAGGAAAATAAAGGAGGAACAGTAAAATAAGCAAGACTGTATCTGTGGAAGTTAAGCGTTATTTAACCTTCGGCTAAGATGCAGGAAAAAAATGGGGGAAATCCAAGTTCTCTGGTTTATCCAGGTAGTCAGACACTGAATCGACACTTCTCCGGACCCGCCTGCGGACTCAAACGCAAAAAAAAACTACACGCTCAACTTAACCACTCATAAGTCCTTCAAAACTGAACGAGATAATGTAAAGAATGTATCCAAGCGGGATTGTGTAAAATGTAAAATAAAATTGTCCAAGCGAGACCTACGAAAACAATTTAAATCAGTTGAATGCACTAAAAACTTAACTGGTAATGTATACATTGGTTATCACTTGTTCACTCAATTAAATATTCAGATTGGTCCGCAGGATCATGAATCACTGTCACAATGAGATTATATATGAAGATTAATTGGAGCGTTTTGGATGAATCAGGTTAATACACAAACATCGTTCAATTCAGTAAGAAACTCTAACCGGAATTTAACACCAAGAAGAAGAGTAAAGCAGGAACGTTATTTATTGTTCTTTTCCGTACTTCGGCCCTGCGTCGGGAGCGCAGCCGTGCACCACCAATTTTGTGCACCAATAAGCCCTGAATCGAACGCCTTGGATCTCTCCGGACATCCACCAATCAGCCGTGCACCACTCGGCTTTGTCCTCCTCCGGCCTTGACCACCACCTGCCGTGCACCACCAGGCCGCGGATCGAATCTGACATCCGGGCATCGTTAAATTACGTAATTTTACGTTCACCGCATCTGAGGTGAGGTTTCAGATAGCAGAGTTCTGTTCCAAAATTTATCGTCCTCCGACAAGTGGCCGTTCGACCGAAGGCTGGTTCGACCCACGGCCTAGATACGGACGGCTTGAAGTGTTGAAGGCTACGTTCCGGAAGGCAGGAATCATGATGGTCCATTACATCCAGGGCAGTTGTGGTCTTCGGCAGGCGACCCCCTGCGTCCGAAGCTATGTCAAGCGAATTAAAAGTCTTCTTCAATAGATACTTCCCAAATGTCAAACTTCATAAATTGTGCAATATAAACAATTTCAAAACCGATTTTTTCTTCAGAAATATAGATATTTTCCCTGTTCATATGCGATCATCCCTAGTTTATCACTATTTGTGCACGATATGCATCTGCGTACGTCGGGGTGACGTCACGCAATCTTTATTCCAGGATCTCTGAGCATAAGGGCAGAGTTGCAGTACCGGACAGTTGCTATCACGCCTCCCTCATTCGGCTGTGCGCACTCACGCCGATCAGTGTGATGTCTCTGTTTCTGACGGTGACTTTAGGGTGGTGGGTCGCCACCACTGCCCTGGATGTAATGGACGGATGTCCATTGTAATTGACGGATGTCCACTGCCCTGGATGTCCACTGCCCTGGATGTCCACTGCCCTTCAGGGCTTATTGGTGCACAAAATTGGTGGTGCACGGCTGCGCTCCCTAGGGTGTTAGCTTCCACATCCGGTACTTCAGATTTGCGTATTTTAGAATCCTTGCACAATTTTAAACTAAGGCCCAGTTTTAATTCAGCTGGTAACTCCTATTCCCTTGAAATTGTGAACAGATAGTTTTTTTGTGTTCTGTCTATTATTTGAAAATTTTGGTTTTTATTTGCGTACTGTGCTTTCAATTGTATTAATTTATGACTTTCTATACGAATTCTAGATTCTTCGAACTGACGATGGAGCTGGACTCCGAAAGTTTTTCTATAAAGATATTAACTTTTGTGGACTATTTTTTCCTTTAAAATTTTTAGTAAACTTGCGATTTAAGCAAACAATTAAGTGACATCAATTCTGAAATATATATTAATAATATATATCTTTTGGTAAATGTAACAATATCAGTCTATAATCTATCAATCTTGCAGTGTTGTTTACTATGCTCATTATATACGGCCCCACTGTCTGTATCATACTAGCTAGCGGCGTGAAAAACCGCCTAGTGCGAAAGATTACATTGAATTACATTGAAAGCTAAACTGTTGCGGCAAATCTACCGCCGCAGTTTTAGCAGTACATACGCGGGCATCAGGCGTTAAATTCTACGCCGCGTTAGAGTCCGCCGTTTGTGAATAGTAGGGCACATCAGTGCTCCGCTGAGGCGATGCTGGCGGTAAATACCGGCGATGCTGGCGGTAAATGCCCGTCTGACGGTGTTTACCGCTGAACCTCAGCAGACATACAAAATGTGCACTGCTGTTCACACGCGACAGATTTTATTACTGCGTACAATTTGACCCTTGACGCCCGCGTGTGTACTGCTAAAACTGCGACGGTAGATTTGCCGCGACAGTTTAGCTTGCAATGATTTTCAATGTAATCTTTCACACTAGGCGGTTTTTGACGCCACATCCTAGTGTGGGACAGACAGTGGGGCCGTATTTTAGGTGCATAATAATAATATAATAATAATAATAGCGGTTTCAGCGTTTGTTAGGCCGTAGGCCTGTCGCCGATTCTTAACATCACAGAACATTCACAGCATTTTGCGGTCTCGAACTCGCAACTCACTGCTACAATTCTGCTGTGCTTAACCGCCCGGCCTCCTTGCCGATTCTGACCAGAAACTGACGCACAGAGCTGGGATCGAACCCGCGCCTCTCTGCTCCAATCTTGGTACACTGAACTGTAACCACTGGGCCACCCTGCCAGCATAATAACCAGCACTGCAAGACTGATAGATTATAGACTGATATTAACACATAAATATCGGTACATAAATATTTTTACATAAACATTGTTACATAAATATTGTTACATCAACATAAGGATGTACATTCATTGATAAATATATATTTCTATAAAGTAATAGAGATATATTTCATATAAGATATATTTCCATGAAATATATAAGTATTTTCATAGAAAAATATTTCCATAAAGATATACTGTCACATAAACATAAATATTGTTACATAAAATTAGAATTGACTGATGTTGCATAGAACAGCACTGCAAGAATGATAGATTCCAGCGTTAAAGACCGCCTCGTTTGAATGATCACGCGGGAAATACCGCATCGGCATTTTTGATGCTCGCGGTATTTGCCGCCCTGTGTGAAATAGGCGGCAAACTAAACGCGATTAAAGACTAGCTTTAGGTATTTCGAGTAACCAATCCGAACCCAAACTATTTCACACGAAGATTCTAGGCAACGAAAACCATAGGCAGAGTAAACGGAGAATCTCAGCCCATAGCCTTACTCGCCACGCCATTCAAAACTGGAAACACCAACTCCTGACGACGGCAGAATGGGACAACTTGGTTAAGATACGGCGCAGCACCGACGAAGGTATTAGCGCCCATACGGGACAACCGCTCGGCCGCACTGTTAGATTACAAAAGAAAAGCTCGTACCAAATCCGACGCAGTCCGCAAGTAATCAGCTTATTACTGGTCTACAGAAAATGCCTGCCGAACTGCGCAGCTACAGCAAGTTTTTTTATAATTCGGGTGCATAATCACATTTCGTTTATAATCTAAATGCAACATTTTGATATGAATAATCTCTTGACCTATCATGAATGAATTTGATTTCTACTGCAAAATTTGAGCTGGCTCATCAAAATTATTTTTTTTTGCATCTTCTCACAGAATTCTCAGAAACTTGTATCTCTATGTAGTTTTCGAAAATATCTCCTTATAGTTGTCGGAAGTTGTACGTTTGAATCTAAAGTTGTTGGTTGTCTGAATTTTCTAGTATGTAGAGCAGGGGTCTCCAAACTATGGCCCGCGGGCCACATCCGGCCCGCCCCACAATTTCATCCGGCCCGCGGCCCGCCGGATGAAATTGTGGAATTAATAAATAATTATTGTACGAATGGCATCGCAGAATTATTCAAAGCTGGGGCCTGCTGACTGGTGGCGCTCAGCCTGAGTCAGTTTTCCTCTCTCTTGATAGTGTGACGTACAGATGCTAGTGCTGGTAAGTATGTGATATGCATTACAACCAATCAATCATGTATAACTGTATATTGTGGGGTTGGAGGCCAAGTGGGGCGTTGCTGCTTCCGTTTCAGGGAGCACAGCTCTTTCGTAATCCATTTGACTGCAATGCTTAAAATCTTCCAACTCAATTTCAAATGGAAATTATTGATCTCCGGGCAGATGACAGACTGACGGATAAGTATCGAGAAGGAAATCTGATTGAGTTCTATAAATGCCTGCAGCCAGATCAGTTTCCAAATTTGATAAAGTTTGCTTGTAGTTTTGTGTCCATTTTTCGTTCAACATACTTGTGTGAACAAACATTTCCCAAAATGAAGTGTGTGAAATCTAACTATCAAGCAAATTTGTCTGATGATCACTTGAAATCAATTCTTACAATTGGCTCATCTAATCTGAAACCAGATTTTAATGAAATTTTGAAGTCAAAACGACAGCATCATTCGTCACTCTAATTTGGTTAAATAAAACTAAAGACAGGCATCTATTTAGTTTACCCTGATTTTTTACAAAAATATATGTTTTAAATTTTCCATGGTTATACCTTAATATTTAGGCAAATAAAATTACTGACACTGATTTTTTTTATTCATTCGGCCCGCATAAATATTGGAAATATATAATGTGGCCCGCAGTGTGAAAAGTTTAGAGACCCCTGATGTAGAGGGTAGTATAAAACCGGACCCTGAGGATCAATACAAATAATGGAACAAGAAACGGACACATAATTATGATTCATAGTATGAAATTAATAAAAAACAACTAAAGTGACTACAAGTGATGAAGACCGCTGAAAGACTCAAATTACCAAAGTCTCTGAACTCACAACAAGCTGACGAATCATGCGCGACAATCGTGCGTGCACGAGGTGACAGAAACATTAATGGTTTAGATTTGTAGAAAAATGTTCATTTTCGTTAAATTTTGAGTATCTGTCATCAGCTCGGCAATTTTCTATTTTTTTTCTCTTTGCATTATCATGATTGTCGGGATCTTATAATTAATGCATGGATAGAATAAATTTGGCCACTTCCAAATAGCACGACCGGAACCATCATTATGAACATCATTGTTTAGTCAGAGCACTAGCACATTCATATCACTCTAATTTCACTCTTAATATTACAAATTAACCTAATTGCGAACTTTATCAATGACGACGGTACAAAAATTCGCGCTGCTTTAGTTTTTTAACCCTAAAATGACCTTAACTCAAACCAGTTTTTTATCCCGTACCAGTAGCGAGTATACTAGTACGTGTATACATACCTCGCTTACGGCCGCTCGTCGAGGCGCACCTAGTTTTTCATCACTAACGTGAAGGCCAATCAATAATTTAACATCTGGGACAATTTTACGGCTGGACTCGCGGCCGGTCTCCAGGAATAATTTGACGTCTCGGACAAATTTACTGCCAGACTCGCGGCCGGTCTCCAGGAATAATTTGACGTCTCGGATAAATTTACTGCCTGATGCGGCCGGTTCGACACGTGCAATATTTAGTGTGGACACAAAATCTAAAAGTCAGTGCTTCTGACGAGCATTTTATTTGAGAAATATATGTTTGTTTCGTCCAATTAATAATTTTATTGACAGTTCCGATACATTTCTAACAGAGCCAATAAATATTTGTTCTCTCATCTCCACTATCTTGTTTTCATTCTTATTTATTATTTTCTGTTGAGCAGCTTTATTTTTCTTGGCCATAACTTCAAATATCATCTACGACAAATACTTGAATACTTATTATCACCTAAATAGATATGAGCGAGTGAATTCTGAACACGCATGTTTTTGATCCTTGAGTTTTAATGACTACAGGGTCCGCCATATTTATGGCAACGCATGTTTTTGTTATTTCTCAATGAAACAAACAGGCGAATTAATTTTTATTGGATGAGCTAATAGCCAAGAACCATGGTTGAATTAACACACTCTGCATTTACCATATTGTTCCTCGTTCTCAAGACAACCCTGCTTACGTATCATCCCTTCCCCTCCTCTCATGCATTTACGCGTCACACCCCATGCTCACCCCTAGTACACCATCTCCACCCCGTCACCCTCAGCCCCCAAACACTGCCCTGGAGGCTCAGAGCGGAAGACCTCTCCACTCGACATTCCAGCGACCCCAGCAACAACAAACGAAGACAACTCGACTGCGAACGACAGCCGGAGGCGCCGCAGCTCTTAGTTTCAAGCAGCAGAAACGAGAAACTGAAACAATATTACGTGTATTAGTTCAACCATGGCCAATAACTACCTAAACAATTTACCATCACATTTATTACAATACATTTTTTTTAATGTATTCCCAACAAGTGTACCTACAAGGCGCACAGGCGCTAAACGGCGGCTGCATCGCTGCGGCGGCGTTTTTAAAAAAATTGTATTTGCTTTAAAAACACGACTCGTAGATCTATGAACTTTCGTAACTGAGTCTGATCAGCTCAAAAAGTTGATCTGCTTTATTAACTTACGTTTTATATGCTGAGGAAACTTCAACTTGTCGACATGAATTGCCACATTTTTTCCCTCTGCCGACTCTCCGAGCGCCAATCTCTTGTTGAAACCATGTCTTCTCATACTGTAAACTTGACGTCCATTGTTGTTTATAAAATAATTGAGACATCAGCCGTGGTGGCATAAATGGCTACATGAAAAAAAAAACACAAATTTAACCTGGCATCAAGATAGAATATTTAGCGTAGGCGGCCTAATGATATATAGAACTGACGATCCCCAAACCTTTTCTGGTCTCGAGGATCGTATTCGGAAATAACAAACTATTTCGTTGGCGAGGTCTTACCATAACCAGAGCTATAGGGCTTGTGATGATGCATTTTCAGATACTGCATATGAAATCCAGCCACTACTTCTTGATTTTTACAATAAACATTGGAATTCAAATGCGCTTACAGTTCGTTTCTCATGCAACAAAATTTCCCCGAACTGTTGTCAAGAAAACTTTTACAATTATGGCTCAACATTCAAGGCCTCACTCGCGTTGTTGTGGGAGAGACACATTTTCATTTCTGCAAGGAAGTTGTAATGCAAGCGGAGACCTTCAATCAAACCATTGCTTTAACCCTGCTTAAGAAAAAAACCTTCTGTTGCACTAAGTTACCAACCACATTATCGAGACAGCTCCCCGTAACATTTGGCGTCCAAACAGGGACCTCATCTGCCACAACCACTAATCGATCCTGCGACTGTTTTTTATAATGCCGTCTTACTCCTTCTCAATCACGACCAATATGCTAACCGAGGCACGTGGGGCTGGTCCAGAAGCTTCGTCTACCTTTGGTACTATGTACGATAATAAGGCTGTCCATTGAAGTCAACCAATGTCAAGGAACTCAATATCAACCCAACCACCGATCTTGAGTTCAACCAAGGGCAACCTCTGCAAGAAGTTAAAGCGGTAGTAGGCCCAATAGAAACGTTTATTAGGTCCCATTACAGCGAAATCGCTCATGCTTGCAAACAACAAACTGTGAAAACATCGTACGTGCGGCAGGGATTTTATGATTCTGCCAGAGCACCTAGATTACAGTTCGCGATGTCCAGTAACAAGTTTAACCGTCATAGGCATCTTAACCGGCCTGATCAGGCTCGTGGGCTGGGACTGCCGTGGACTAACCATTTCTAATCACGTTTTCACCATCGATTAAAATACTGAAAAATAAATTTGATTGGGACCATTTATGAATTTAATACGGTTAATGTTCTATTTAAATGTCATAAACATCATGTTTTCATATACAAACATACATTAGTAATTTGTTTGAACGTTCCATGATAGTGACGCATAACACTTTCGAATACACAAGTGAAGTCGCACGTATTTGTTCACTCTATTTTGAATCTGGTTTCTTAGTCTCCATATCGTAGAGGACTTCCCCAAAGTCGAAGCCTCGATCTTGTTTCCTCTTCGTCAAGTAAGGTGCAATGTAATATTTCCCCCTGAAAAATAAGGTATGAATTTGACAATGAAGTATGGATGTTGCTAATGTGGAACACATAGTAATAATAACAGAAAAGGCGAAATTTTGTATACAAGGAGTCATTTGTTTTTATAATGTTCAATTACTGCCAACAAAACTATGCGGAATTAGTGAAGATATATAATTATTCAGAATATAGAATCACGTATCCCTTCACCCGGGGATAATTTTCTAACCCAATCCATGTTAAGTTAAGGAAGACTCAGTTAGCTACACACATTCAACGTTCGTTTTGAAATTTGATGGAATTGGCGATTTTCTTTCTATCAAATATAATTCGGATTCCATTTTTAATCAAACCTCTGCAATGCCACGTAATACTAAGACTAAAAGTACAATTTCGGATCATGGTTGTGCCTCAGTACGCGAGGTATTATACTCAAAATATTTCCTGCGCCACGTCATAGCAATCTTTTCAAAACATAGAATAGATTGGTAGAATGAGTAAGAGCAGAATAAAGGTGAATGTACAATGGGACTCACTTTGTAAGTTGAAGCTATAAAACTTTAATAACACAAGAGAAAAGCAACAGAAAACTTTTTTTTATGTATTCATACGTTAAAAAATTAATTTGGGAGTCCACCAAGAAATCACTATACTCCGCCAAGGACAATGTTGCTAATGTCTGAAATAGAGGAAGGTTGTGCAATGGACATGCAATTCCATCACACACAGCCATACTCGACACATGCCATAACAACACCAACCCAACGACCGCCTAGTCACGTAGTTTTCATAACGACATATCCCAAACCGACTAAGCAAAAAACAGTCGGGAGATGTGAAATAGCAGAACTCAGTACAACAGTGAAATCGGTTGAAGTAGGGAGATGCGGGAAAAGCGTCAGAACACTCAAGTTTTATGTGTGAGCATGGAATAGCAATGATTAAATCAGACAGAAAATAACCTACCCAAGCCATGAAAATCTAGACCGATACCACAACAGGGGCGGAGCGCTACTATGACATCATAAGCACCAAGGCGCTGAAGGCTCATAAGCACCAAGGCGCTGAAACCAGCAAGGCTCGGAAGCCAGCAAGGTCTTATAAAGGCAAGGTTCAAACCAAGGCAAGAGAAATTCCTATCATCCAGTATATTATACAAACTAATGAGTACCGGTATACGTAATGGGAGACCAATAAAGAGTTTACAGCTCCCTGCAGTCACTTTTCCAGCGGAAGCAGAGATGAGTGATAAAAATTGTCATGAAAAGCCTAAATGTACAAGTGGAGGAAGAAAACAAAGCAGTTTAGACATCATGCTTCATGATGGCATAATAGTCACCATGCTTAATGCTGGCATACTAGTCACCATGCTTAATGAAGGCATAGTCAACAAGCTTAATGATGGCATAGTCACCATGCTTAATGATGGCATTGTCACCATGCTTATTAATGGCATTGTTACCTGAAATACTGATAGGTATTTAGATTCCCGAGCCTTCATTGTACTGTGTAAATTTACGAAGCTCATTCACTAGACAGTTCTCAAGTAAGACCTGGTCTAAAAATCAGCCAAAGAAAAAAGACAGTCAGTCATTCAACAACATTCAGTTTACCTGCAAATACGAGGCAAATTTTTTAGTTTACAAGTTATAGAAACCAGAAAAGGCTTAGCTTATACAAAAGCTTATACAAACCAGAAAAAGCTTAGGATAGCTCCACCCAAGAAAGCAATAGTAATCCTGTTGATAAGTTTGCTTGCAGCAGTTGACATGGCTGGCACTGAGCTGACACCAAGTCCTCCTGAAAATAATATCGTGTTTTTACAATCCACCATTATTTATATATTCCTCCTCTGGTTGAAAACGCCAAAAAATTATTGCTAAGTTTATGTACGTATTAATTTCACACGTCAAAAAATTTTTGCAAGCCAATAAGTTGAATCATTTCTGATGCATGACAGTTTGAGCAGTCCTATGGGATTTAATAGACATAGACTAGAATTTATTAGACATACTTTCAATAAGACTTAATAATTCCCTGACATAACAGCAAGCATGAGATAAAATAAACAATTTTTAGACATACATTAAAATATCTTTAAAAATCCAATATTTTCTCACAATAATTGTTTTCAAGAATCAACCTACTAATCCTGTGTTATTAAGAGCTGGAAGTCTTAGGTGTGGAGTTCACGGAAGTGGCTTTTGAAGTTGAAGTGTCAGCCTCAACAGCTTGTGACTTTGCAGCTTTATTAATTTCGGAAAATATTGGTTGCCAGAAGTAAAGTGCACCACCAACTCCTATCATCGAAATTGCTATGATATCAGCAAAAGAGAACCTGTAAATAAAAAGTAATGCAAGAACCACATTATGTACACCAAGGTTTAATCACGCATCCAACAACTAAAGCAACAATTAAATAATTGAAAAATTGTAGATAAAAACTTTAAAGAAATGTGCACTTCATTTTTTCAGATAATACAAAAGTTTGCAATCAGAAAAGTTTATAGTCAGACTGCAGAAAGTGTCACTAAATATCAGCTATTAACAGTCTTTTCCAGTTAAAGAATACCACCGTACCTATTGCAAAGAAACACATCACTAATTAATGTCTATACCTACAACTATAATTAGTGACAGCAACAGAAAACCAATCCAGCAAGTCATACCTAGATTTTATGCCACTAAATATATGAATATAAGTAATGAAGTTCAGGTAATAATGCTCTTCAACAGTAGTTGTTCACTCACCTTCCTCTGCCTCGGTGAATTCTCATCATCCAAATTTCCAATACACTGAGAATAGCATTTACACCAACAGGAGCAGAAACCTGAAAAACATTAACAGTTAAAAGTATCCTTATTTGTTGAGCAATTAGTCATATAAATATATATCAAGAGTAAGAAAAAATCATGAATTTTTGTAATAGTTTGTTGAGCTTTTTGGGGCAGCAACTGAGCTTTCCTGCCATATTTGGAGTTGCAATTTTTCCCCTATCATAAATAGCACATGAGTTGCCACTTAGCAGATAATGCCCTTAATTCAAGGCTTATTCCTAAAAACCTATAAATACTGATTGGAACTACACATTATAGGGTTGTTATCACAATGATAAATATAAAGCTGTATGATTTCATTATAAAGCAATCTTGGATGATGGTAAGAAATTTGTAAAAATTTGCAGGTCAAAATTCTGTTTTTATGGGCATTTTCTGAAATCCCAGCAAATTGTTTATTTGAAAGAAATATGGTATGACCATTGAAACAGGTTAAATTGAATGCAAGCATAGGTGTTCTTGTTTCCTTCATGAATAGCTTTCTCACAATTTTCCAGAATAGTCTATAAAATTGAGGTTCAGTTTTGATGATCATTTCCATTAAAGGGCAGATCAGGCCAGCAACATAAATGCTATGGCAACTAAACTCAGTTGCAAATAATAAGCATTGCATCTGATGAACAATCTTCTATAGTTCTACACATGGTGCCATGTTATGGTAAATATAAAAAACATGAGATTTTGAGGAATTGGAGTGCTCCGTCATAATCTAGGAGCACAACATATCACTACACCTTCCCCCATGAATTCCAGCAAATCACTGCAGCAGAAGACCTACTGGTATTGACAAAGAGACATGACTTCATGCCAAGCACTAATTGGTCAAAGTCTGAGACCAATTAGCAACTTAGCATGATTTAATGGTACTGTAGTGCTCCCAAAGATCTATGGGTGTCCAGACCAAAAGATCATCAATGGATTTCCTATGAACTTAATTCAGAAACAATATTCGTGAATCATATTAATTGCACTATTAAAAAAACAATAAAACTCATAAACATAGCTAGGTAGTATCACTCTGCTCATCTATATGTGTGAAATCAATCATGGGAGATATAAAAATGCAATTAATATCTACCAGGAAGAAACTCGCATGAAGGGCAGCCTGCAGCACCTGAACAAGCTGGTGGTGGTTGGCAGGCAGTGCTCCAAGCAGTTAATTGTTTGATACTGCAGAATTGTTCAATAAAGTTAACTATCTTGAGCTTTGTTTTGTTAGCTTCTTGACAGCAAAACCTATTTATAGATATTAGGACACAATAGATTCTTTAAATTCAACTCAATGACACTGATAGCAGATACAACAAGGTCAGTATGGGAGCTGCATTCTTGGTGTATGGTATTTTCTTGATGTATGGTATGGAGCTCCTTGGAGTGCACAACAGTGGGTGCATTCAGGAAAACTCCTACTTTTTTGAAATATTGCAGCCCTAATATCATATAATTTCAGTGTATATGAAATCTCATGGCTCTAATGTCATGTACTATTGTTTTATTGAAAAAATTGCAGTTTACACTTTGCATAACATGTTGTTTCACGAAATTGTCAACTTCTGCCATCCGCAGTACTTCAACGCTTCCGCCAAAATATCCTGCAGAATGTAATAATAACGAGTTAACAGAAAGTGTTCTGTTGAAGATTGCAGTTACAGTGATGTCAGAGCGGTCAGCAGTCAGACTGCATTATCACGTTTAACATTTGCAGTTGCCACTAAAGTAAAGACAAATGCTGTTTGACTATTATCAAGGTAAAATTAGAGATTTGGAGTAACACTAACACATGCACATGACTTTGTAGTTGTAGGTAAGTTTGTTGCTTTTAAATGGCTCTTCATCACTTCATGACTGAGATATGGAATTCACAACTCAAATAAATGGGATCACGGCTGGTAAATCCATAAAACCATGGCTTGAAAAATCCAGTCGCAGCTCACTGAGCTCACCCAAGTCTGTAGAGTACGGCCTTTTAGCTCGAGATATTGGCGTCTTTTGAAAATCTTTATCAACCATCTTGACCTTGCATTGGCATCTTTTGAGGCTCTTCATGAGCCATCTCAACCTTACATCCGCGTCCCGTCGCGGTCGCCGCGGTCTGGAATGTGCGGTGCGGCGCATGCACTGGAGGCCCATTTTGGGATGTATGCCAGCAGGCCTGGAAAGAAAGTTGCCAGTATGTTTGCTGGAAAAATGAAAGTGCATCTCTGACTGATGCCTGATGATCGGTACTGATGAGCGCTTTACGATTGATTCGGCCAATGCCCGACAATGATACATGCACTTGGGCGATTGATGTGGCTGTTGCTCAATGATCAACATAGATGCCCGCACTTTACAAGTAATGAACGACACGCATGCACACATTTTACGATCGATGTGGCCATCCCTCATGCTTCGCTGCTCACCAAGTAGATATATTCCATGCCTGGTATTCTGGCAGAACACAGAATCCTTCAATGCTTCGGGCAAATTAATCTGAATATTTTTCTGGAATATCCAAGTCCTAACCATCTTTCCATTTGGCATTCACTAGAATTAGTAGAATATTAAGGTTTTTAATTTCAGAAGTCAATAATTTAGTGATATGGTTTTAGAGAAATCTAAAATTATGTAGCTCCATTTTACATGGTTGTTTCTGGCTTTTTACATTCAGTTACTACTTACTATCTGGCATCTGCTATATGAAAATCCCCCATTGAGTGATTGATTATTGAGTCGTGAGCACCCTTATCATCGGCCTTATGATACAAGCATGGAAAACTTCTAACCAAAGAGCCGCGACTAGAGCTTTCCAACCATTTCCGGAACTGCGAGATTTCTGCCAGATGAATTATCTCTTATACACCGTCAACCGAGGCTACTCGGGACGATTTTGAACGTTTTTCATTCATAACTTCTTACCATGAAACATTTCATAAACAAGTTTAGGCCCATTTCAAAGCTCTTTGCAAGGGCTATCACATGGCTTCTCCAAAAAAATTCCATATGCTATTCGTAAGGTGCTAGAAGCAAAAAAAGAGTGTCCCAAGTAGCCCTGTCAAACAGGGCTACTCAGGACACTTGGAATAAAACTTTATTTTAAAACATTTGAAGCATGCAGAGTGTACTCATTCATTACTAACAGTACTCTGAAGTCCTCTTTCATTGTAGAAGATGTTGAGGTAGAATAAATGACATTTTCTGTGATTTTTACTTGTTTTTCCTTTATTGATATGATATTACCATATACCTTAATTACCGTATTATTGATGCAATATTACCGTATCCATGAACATGCCATTGAGCATTTACAACAACCTTGTCCACTGCAAGCTTCATATCAGCAGCGTTATAGCATTTTTTCTGTATCTGTAAGCTTACAGGACAGCTTGTAATTTCACACCATTTTAATTGGGTTAAGCAACTTTACTATAAAAAAGATCGTGAAAAACATACCTGAAACAGAAAGGAATGTTTTAGTGACAATTCCAGTTAACAAAAAAATTGATTAACAACAAAGAATTTCGATTACATTTACCTCGCTTGGCGAAAAAAAATCACTTATCAAGAAATTAGTGCATCATCAGTCATCATAAAATTGTACATAGAATGCTATATACAGGGTGTCCCAAAAAAACGATACCCAACTTTGAATGGCTGTAACTTGAAAAGTAATAGAGTTACAAAATTTTGGAAGGTCAGGATTTGTTTCCTATGTTTTTCTGTATCTCTCCACAAAAAATCAGATTGATGTAGTCATAAGCGTTTGATAGAACTGTCAGTGACATGTGCTAAAATCGTGCTTGCGCAAAGTTTTAGCAAGATCATTTTGCATACTCATTACGTTGTCTTGACATGTTTTCTTTTTGCTGTTTGATTTTTAGCGCATTTTCTCATTTATGAAGAAGATGCACTATTGTGCTTGCCATGTCTGTCTGTCCGTCCGTGACTTCATGTTTTCGTTGGTGAGGAAGGTGAGGCACAATCATGACAATCTTTGGTGAGAGACAATCATGGCAATCTTTTTTGGGAGGCAATCATGACAATCTTTGGTGAGACACAATCATGACAATCTTTAGTGAGACACAATCATGGCAATCTTTGGTGAGACACAATCATGGCAATATTTGGTGAGAGACAATCATGGCAATCTTAGGTGATAGAGAATTTCAAAACCAAAGATTGTCTCTCACCAAAGATTGACATGTTTTTGTCTCACCAAAGATACAAAAAATGTAACTCAGTACTCACTGCAGTGAGTGACAGAGAGCTTATTTTCTCATTGATGAAAACATGAAGTCACGGATGGACAGACAGACGGACATGGCGAGCACAATAGTGCATTTTTTCATAAATGAGAAAATGCGCTAAAAAATAAAACGGCAAAAATAAAACAGCGAAGAGAAAACATGTCAAGACAACGTAATGATTATGCAAAATGATCTTACTAAAACTTTGCGCAAGCATGATTTTAGCACATGTCACTGAAAGTTCAATCAAACGCTTATGGCTACATCGATCTGTCTGATTTTTGGCGGAGAGATGGAGAAAAACATAGGGAACAAATTCTGACCTTTCAAATTTTTTAAACTCTATTACTTTTCAAGTTACAGCCATTCAAAGTTGGGTATCTTTTTTGGGACACCCTGTATAGAATTGTGCACCAGGCATCATAGAATGAAAAGTAATTGACCTAAACTATGATTTATTTCTTCAAAACATATAATGGTTGTCACTAAAACATTATTTTCTATTTCAGCCTTCAGGTATGTTTTTCACAATCTTTTTTGTTATAGTGAAATCACTAGACTCAATAGCTAAATAGCTGAAGTGCTAGTAAACATTTGGCCACTAAACTAACTAACTCAATTAAAATTGTGTGAAATTACAAACCATCCTGTAAGCTTACAGATACAGAAGAAATGCTACATGGCTGCTGATATGAAGCTTGCAGTGGACAAGGTCGTTGTCAATGCTCAATGGTATGTCCATGGATACAGTAATATCACATTAATAATACGGTAATTAATGAATATGGTAATATCATATCAATATAGGAAAAACAAGTAAAAATCACAGAAAATGTCATTTATTTTACATCTACAATGAAAGAGGAGGAATTCAGAGTACTGTTAGTAATAGATGAGTATACTCTGCTTGCTTTAAATGTTTGAAATTGAGTTTTATTTCAAGTGTCCCTTATTACTCCATTTCAAGTTTAATTCAGGAGCCTTTTATATTGTGTCTAGCACCTTACAAATAGCATATGGAATTTTTTTGAAGATTCCATTCGATAGCCCTTGCAAAGAGCTATAAAATGAGCCTAAACTTGTTTCTGAAATGTTTCATCATTTCATGGTAAGAAGATATTACCAAAAAAATGCTCAAAACCATCCCTTTTTACCCCGTTTGACGGTATGACATTCTATGCACAATTTTGTGATGACTGATGATGCACTAATTTTTCGATGAGTGAAATTTTTTCGCTGAGCGAGGTAAATGTTATCAATATTCTTTGTTTTTAATCAATTTTTTTCTTAACTGGAGCTTTTGCTAACTGAGGTTCTACTGTATATACACGTTTTTGTGGGTGTCCCGAATAGCCCCGGGGGCCGGGGGTGTCCCAAGTAGCCCCACTGTGCGGAAATGGCCGCAATTTTTTTTTTGGATTGAGGTATGTAAATTCCACAAATAAAGTTTTCATGCTGACACTTGTCTGCCACTTTTTTCTAAGCAAAATTTTTTAATACGGCAAATATTTTTTTACTACAGACCTTAGCAGAAGTAACTTTTCGAAATATTGTTTTTCACCATTATTTTTAGGAATTTTTCAAAGCTAGTATTTTTGAACTTCCTTTATACTACATAGATAGGAAAAATGTTGACATTTACGCCACTATATTTAGTTTTGCTACTAAAACAGTTTTACGTCATGTCGAACAGTCAGAGGACTGTCCCAAGTTACCCCACCCGTCCCGAGTAGCCCTGGTTGACGGTAATTGTTAACAAAAATGCACGATCAGGCTGATCGTGCATTTATATTAATTTAGTACAAAATAGTACAAAATATTCATTTTTAACTTCCTCATTTACCTGAGATTTAATCCAATTTTTTATGTATGATAAGGCTGGTATCCAGGATACTTTACTGGTCTACTTATGGGACTCAAAAATGAACTTGAGGGAGAGTCTAAAAAACTCTCTGCTTTGCCACTATGCCTGTTACTGTTATGATAGGTTGGCAGCCATTTGGCTTGGCTGCCTTGGCATGGTGGGGCATGCTGCTAGAGAAAGCCAGCATTGCGTATACCCAACTTCACCCATTAGTGGTTACCTAGTTCATATTCCTTTCAGCCTAAGTGGCCTTGGCCCAGGGGCCCTCAGCCTCAGGTTGCACTTGCAAGCACCTTAGTTAGCAATGACAATTGACAAAGCACGT